CTCAAATAATGTAATTCTTATTACCTATTGCAACTTTGCTGCTGGCTACGTGCGCGGCAGGTCTTTCAAATGGAGACTAGCTGCTCTCTCTCTCTCTCTCTCTCTCTCTCTCTCTCTCTCGCTCTCTCTCGCTCTCTCTCGCTCCCTCTCCGCCGTCCGCCTAACCCATACGCTTGCCGCCTCTCCCCGCGGTGGTGCTCGGCGATTATTTGCTCTTTTATTATTTCCCCGCCCCGCTGTCGTTTTGCGGGGTCCCAAAGCCAACCCGTCCCGCCGCCGCGCGCTCCCTCGTACCCTCTTTGGCGTGCTACTCATTTAACGGGGAGGGGGTGGGGGGGCTTCATTACGGCCCTTTGTACGCTTAGGCATGCCACGCCCACGGAACCCCCCATTCCCACGTCGTCTCTCCGTACGCACGCGGCAGCGTCACTTTGCACGCACGACAACTACAGGGCGTCCCACAGGCGCACGTATACTTTTGCTTATACTCTGTCCACTACTGTAAGTGTTTTAAATGTCCGAAACTTTTCCGGAAAACTTTTTTTCAATTTTTTTTTAGATTTTCCCCGAAAATTTAATAATGATAAACATTTAAAACAATTGTTTATGATGAAAATTCCCAAAAAGCTTTTGTCGAGAACTAAAATCTCTAGTCCACTGCTGCTGCATTTATCCTCCTTCCCCCTTCTGTAGGAAAGCCCTGCAGAAGTAAATTCGGTTGTCGGCGCGCGCGAGGATGCAGCTGCGTCGCGACGCGACGCCGGCGACACGACGGGATTTGATGGGCTTTCGCGGCCACCTTAATGGCGCACTTTCCACTCTCTCTCCTCCCTCCCTCTCCTCCCTCCCTCCCCCCCCCCTAGCTCGGCTTCTATACACATCTCCAACCGCCCACTTGCAGGCCCCCTAAACCGCTTCGACGAACCCCCCCTTTCCTCCCTCTCACTCTACCCTCTCGTCTACCCCGTCTCGCACTCTCCCCCTCTGCCTCGCGCCAAGTGCAGCAGCAGACCACCTCAAGTCCTTTTCTTATTTTTCCTCCGCCCCTTTCACCCAACACCGTACCCCCTACCCTGCTCCGACGACCCCTCTGCAACGCACCCGTCTAGCAGAGCGGCCCCCAGAGCACTGGCTCCGCTGCGCCCCGCCTCGCCCCACAGAGCTTTAAAACAACTTGCGCATGACCCCAACAACTCTCCCTCTCTCTATCTCCCCCCCTCGCCCCCTCTTTGCGTTTTGTTTGGTCGTGATGGCCCCCGTCATGCCCATTTTGAGGCGTCTAGCCACGCGTCCGTCTCGGGTGTCTGTGTGTCTGCGGGGCGTGCTCTCGTCGCACCCCGCCCCGCCCAGCCCCGCCTCGCCTCGCCTCGCCTCGCCTCGCCCCGCCCCACGCCGTGTCTTGCATGGCCAATGCGCCCCGGGCGGCTGCACTCAAACTCCAGCGCCGAGACTGCTAGGGTGTGTTGGAGGCGTCGGGAGCAGGGGGAGCTTGGCGTGCAGTAGGAGGATGGGGGGGCTGCATTCTTGCCCCGGCTACACATCCCACTACACCGCACGGCTGCACGTCGGTGGCCTCGGCGGTGGCCATCAACGGACCGACAGGCTCCTCCGGCGCGCGGAGCTATTTCACCAAGTCCGAACCTTTTCCAGGAAATTTGGAACAGAGCGCCAGAGTTTTAGAAGTCCCAAAATACTTCCCCAGAAAATTAAAAATTCAAACTTGACCACAATTCTTGACGTAAAATAACACACTTAAGAAAACTATGAAAGTGTTACACATCTGAACCGTTTTGTTTTGTCTTTGTTTAAAGGTGGCAGCGTCCAGAGGTACGTGGCCTCGCAGGCGGACATCCCCGACCGCAGCTACGACGGCCACCTGGGCCAGCTGGTGGACGGTCTGCGCGGCCCGGACGACTTCCGGAACCACGAGACGGACGTTCTGGGTGAGTACGAGGTTTCGCGTGTCATCGTGCAAGAGCGACTTCCGCATGCTGCTCCACTCGGCAGCCGTGCGGGCGGGTTGCTTATCGTTAGACGCCGGGCGTTCCGTCGTATGGTTTTCTCTACTCTTTCCGTGCAGTGGAAACAGGCCGCGCGTTTCCCTAGAAAAAAAGGCGGTTTCAAGGAATCGTTCTGGAAGTAACTCCGGCTTCTTAGATTCATTCGGCAAATTACCCGGGCTCGGCGCCTGCGAGAATCGGGGTAGGCCACCCCGCAAGACGCCCCTGCACTGCACTCAAGATACTGCCTACCTATCAGGCGCAATGACTGCTTCCTCAGGCTTAGGCTGCTGGACTTCCAAAAGTTTCGTTACTGCCAATGACGGACGTAGTCGTAGTTTCTGGATTCTTAAAGTCGCAACTTTACTCGGGTACTATGTGGAAGTTTTAAGTTAAATTTATAAGGACACTAAAAATTAAACTACTTCCTTACATGTTACACATTAGCCCCAATTAGGCACTTATAAATGTGAGATTAAAGTCTTTTTTCGCGGGGAGCCTGAAAGGTGCTAATGTATCAAGTGCCTTGCCTTCATTTGGCAGTTGCAATTCCCTTGTCACATTTTAAATGTAATGTGGCAAAGGACCTCTTGATTTTCCAGTGTTGTAACACAAGAGCAGTGGGTGGTGCCATATGTCGCCCCTAATTACAGCGAATTCTTACTTTAGTGTAGTGGGGCGAGTTTCCCCGTCGCGCGGGGCGAGGGACCCGCACACTCTACCCTCTGTTGGGGCAGTGGAGGGGGAGTCTTTTGGCAATTGAGGGAAAGGGGAGCTGGGGGTAGTTTTCTTAGCCGTGTGGGGGATAGGGGTGAGTGGAGGGAGTGGGGTGGGTACGGGGGTCAAACACGCGGAAAAGCGCAGCACACAACAACGGGGGCCGCTGCTGGCAGTGTTCCCCGTTAAAAATTAACGAAATGTGCGCGCTAAATGTTTCAAGGCTGTGAGATGGGAGAGAGGGCTGAGGGCGGCTGGGCCAGGACCACCGGGGCCCACAGGGCGTCGGGTGGTAAGGCGGGGCGCGGGGCGGGGGCGCTCCACATGAGTACACGGGGTCGTGTTCCCGTCGTGGTGGAAGGCGAGGTCTGTGTTGGAGAAGAGGCGAATCATTCTCTTTGTCACAAAGGGACTGGACTCTTATTCTCTCACTCTTATTCCCTCTCTCCCTCCCTCTCTCCCTCCCTCTCTCCCTC